AGATTTTTCTTAGTTTTATTGAACAAATTGATTTGTCGCTTGTGTACGTCGCGTGGCTTTTGTTTCTTAGGTTTTTCATGTATTGATTTTTGTTTTTGCGATAGTTTCAATTGAAATTCATTTCTAAAAGGAAGAAAAAAGCACAAAGACCTAGTTTCGAGAGTTGATATGAATTTTTAGATTTTTGAGCGACATGAAAAATTACCTGTTGATCCAATTTTTTCTAAGTGGGCTAGTTGTATGAAAAACTTGTCAATCATAACCGATTCTTGGAATTCAAAGAGTTAACGAGCCTAAATATTCCTTTCACCGAAATGTGGTTTTTTTTCTCGTATTCCTCAAGTTCACTGACACTTTTTCAGCTCTCCGTTGACGATGCTCTGATTTTATTTTTAATTTGCTGTAGTAGTGTCTAAAATTGAAGGTAATCAGTGTTCTGTCCAGTAAAGAAAGTTTTTGAAACAGTTTTTTCGCGATTTTTTTTTGCTTGCTAATGTTTAATTTTTTGTGTTAGGTTTTGATTTAATTTAGGCATATAAGCTATTGCTTATTTTCAATAGATGCTGAGAAAGTTTTACGCTCTAATAAATTTCAGGGGTTATGCCATCTGAAAGATATTGATGCCTTGAGCTCAAAAATGTCACATGTGATCTTTTTTGCCCCAAAAAACTATGGGGCCTCGGACGTTGCCAATTAACCAATTCTGGCATACTTTCCGCGAACTTTAACATTTTGTTATATACGCCTAGCACAGGTGGCGAGTCAATCCGAGTGAGAATTTCTTAAAAATTGAATCGAAGATATTTGGTTACGCTTGCGATTGGCAAGCGTTATCAAATCGGAATGTAGACTTTTTTTCGGGTTAACTACAAAATCAGATGAATCACTTGCTGATATCAATGCTGACTTGCTCAATTTCTTGAAAATTCAAATTAAATTACTAGATGGGTACTAGTTACTACAGGGTAGTTTCAGGGGGACTTTAAATTTACAAGTTTTTTTTACAAAAAGATTTTTTTTTACGGATCAATTGGTGTCTGCTCAAAGATTGTCGGCCTTGTTTCCGCTTCGTTAAATTTGTTTGGCATGTTTGCTTGGCATGTTCTTGCTGAGCATGTTTGCCTAGAATTTCTGTTTGAAAAAAAAGACGAGTTATAAAAAATTGGTATCCATAGAAAGACCACCTAAACCCATGTGTGCCTGCATACTCCCTTGTTCTGTTTTTTGCTTTACCATTTTGTCTACAGCCTTCGAAAGAGTCTGTAGGGGAAACATTTGACCAATCTTTTTGATTTATGATCAAAACTAACCTGCGAAATCTGAGATTTTTGTTTGAGCTCCCCCCCCCCCCCCCCCATAAACGGCTGCGCCCAAATTTTTCTACACATAAAATTATGGCCCTCGGAATAGTGAAATTTTTAATTTTTTCATTGTTTTTAATATATTTATTTTTCTCAAATTAACCTCCCAAACCTGAGGTTGTGGGTTCAATGGAGACAACGGGTTGTGAGAAGCTTGCCCGTATTAGCAGCTACTCGCAAAATTTTTATTCTTTATCAAAAAACTACCCTCCGATATCTAAGATTTTAGATTCAATGCAAAGAACTGTTTATGGGAAGCTCTTTTGCGTACGCGACTACACGCAAAAAAATATGGCCGTCAGAAAAGTCTAAATTTTTTGAAAGTTTTTGATTTTGTGAGAGAACTACCCTGTCAAACTAAACTTGGTTTTGAGTTCAATCGAAATTACAGGTTGGGTGAATCTCTTTGCATAAGCGGCTACGTGCAAATTGTTTTAAACATAAAGCTATGCTTCTGGGAAATATCAATTATCTGATTTGTTGAGCGATCGAATAAGTTGTTGGAAGCTTACCTTTGTAATTTGCTTGTTTGTTTTTAAAACAGTTATGGATTTCAAACAAGTGAAAGTTTTGAAACTTTGGCCGTTTTTTGGACGTTTTGCGACTTTACTCGACCACTACCGTGCCAATTCTTAGGTTACGTGTTCAATCGAGAAACTGTTTTTTTTGTGTTTTTTCTTTACTTTACCAGCCACCACCGGCTTTTTGCAGAAAAAAGTTACAGATTTCAGAGAGTTTTTTCACTTTGACTATTTTTAGAAGCTTTTTGAATTTTTTTTAAGAAGTACTCCATCAAATGTGAAATGAAATGATCATTCGAAACAAGCGGTTGCGCGAATTTATCCTGCTGAAGCGGCTACGTTATGTTTTTTTTTGTAAGAGAAATTTTACGTCTTCGTGAACATTTCAAAATCTCAAATCTTTTCTCTCTTCTCACAAATTCTAGTAGAGAAACAACTAACTAAACTCTTGGGCAAAGTCCAATTTTTGTAATAACGCATTTCATAAGCGTCTACGTGCAAATTGTTTTAAACACAAACCTATGCTTCTCGGAAATATCAACTATCTGATTTGTTAACCGATCGAATAAGTTGTTGGAAGCTTTCCTTTATAATTTGCTTGTTTGTTTTTAAAAAAAGTTCTGGATTTGAAACAAGTGAAAGTTTTGAAAGTTTGGCCGTTTTTTTGGATGTTTTATGACTTTACTCGACCATTATCGTGCCAATTGTTAGGTTAGGTGTTCAATCGAGAAACTTTATTTTGTGATTTTTCTCTAATTTACCGACCACCACCTGCTTTTTGCAGAAAAAGTACGGATTTTAGAAAGTTTTTTCACTTTGACTATTTTTAGAAGCTTTTCGAATTTTTTTTAAAAAAATACCCTATCAAATCTGAAATGAAATGTTCATTCGAAATAAGCGGTTGCGCGAATTTTTCCTGCAGAAGCGGCTACGTTATATTTTTTTGTGAGAGAAATTTTACGTCTTTGTGAACATTCCAAAATCTCAAATCTTTTCTCTCTTTTCACAAATTTTAGTAGAGAAACAACTAACCAAACTCTTGGGCAAAGTCCAATTTTTGAAATAACGCATTTCATAAGCATCTACGTGCAAATTGGTTTAAACATAAAGCTATGCTTCTCGGAAATATCAACTATCTGATTTTTTGACCGATCGAATAAGTTGTAGGAAGCTTACCTTTATAATTTGCTTGTTTGTTTTTAGAAAAGTTATGGATTTCAAACAAGTGACCGTTTTGAAACTTTGGCCGTTTTTTGGACGTTTTGCAACTTTACTCGACCACTAACGTGCCAATTCTTAGGTTACGTGTTCAATCGAGAAACTTTTCTTTTGTTTTTTTCTACTTTACAGGCCACCACCTGATTTTTGCAGAAAAAAGTTACGGATTTCAAAGAGTTTTTTCACTTTGACTATTTTTAGAAACTTTTTGAATTTTTTTAAAAAGTACTCTAACAAATATGAAATGAAATGATCATTCGAAATAAGCGGTTGCGCGAATTTTTCCTGCAGAAGCGGCAGCGTTATGTTTTTTTTTGTAAGAGAAGTTTTACGTCTTTGTGAACATTCCGAAATCTCAAATCTTTTCTCTCTTCTCACAAATTTTAGTAGAGAAACAACTAACTAAACTCTTAGGCAAAGTCCAATTTTTAAAATAACGCATTTCATAAGCGTCTACGTGCAAATTGTTTTAAACATAAAGCTATGCTTCTCGGAAATAACAACTATCTGATTTGTTGACCGATCGAATAAGTTGTTGGAAGCTTACCTTTGTAATTTGCTTGTTTGTTTTTAATAAAGTTATGGATTTCAAACAAGTGAAAGTTTTGAAACTTTGGCCGTTTTTTGGACGTTTTGTGACTTTACTCGACCACTACCGTGCCAATTCTTAAGTTACGTGTTCAATCGAGAAACTTCTTTTTGTGTTTTTTCTCTACTTTACCGGCCACCACCTGCTTTTTGCAGAGAAAAGTTACGGATTTCAGAGAATTTTTTCACTTTGACTTTTTTAGAAGCTTTTTGAATTTTTTTAAAAAGTACTCTATCAAATGTGAAATGAAATGTTCATTCGAAGTAAGCGGTTGCGCGAATTTTTCCTGCAGAAGCGGCTACGTTATATTTTTTTGTAAGAGAAATGTTACGTCTTTGGGAACATTCCGAAATCTCAAATATGTTCACTCTTCTCACAAATTTTAGTAGAGAAACAACTAACTAAACTCTTAAGCAAAGTCCAATTTTTGAAATAACGCATTTCTTCTTTCTTTTTCAAATAATTGTGTTGTATCTGAAGTGGTGCGAAGCTCGCCTTCGCGTCTGTGTCTTATTAATGCGATGTTAGACATGGAACATATCGTCCCAATTTTTTCGTTAAACAGTTGAAGGTTCACTTTTTTTGCTTTCATTGTTGAAATCCAATTTTGGGTGTGTATTATTCACACAAGCGAGCTTGTGAGCATTATGACGAGTACACTGTTTTTCAATCCAACTTGCATTAAATAGTCCTCATTTTAGTGGCAGTTTTGCTGCATGAAGTTGGCAAATATATAGCCTGTGTTTATCCTAGTCAATAGTTGCTCGTGTCGATCAACTCAAGAGCACAATGAGCAGATGCGAGGACGTGTGAGGTTCTTTCTCTGTAGGTCAGGTGTTTGTTTCCGCCACCTTGTGAAATTTTTATTTTTCAAGATTTATTTTTTGCATTTTCTTCCTATATTTTACTTGGCTTAACGTCTCTTGGGTCTGTGCGAAGGGCAGATTGCCTCTTGTGTTTATTTGCCGGATAGGTGGGAATGCTGGAGATAAGTTTTCTTCGCCTTTCAAGTTTTCGTTGGTTTTTTTTCATTTATATCTTTTATCTTTTTAGTTGACGATCAATGAATTAAAAAGTTATTTTACTTTGTCTTCGTTCGGCTGCAAGTATTCGTCTATCAAAAAAATGCCAATTTTTGTCTCTTTCTTGAATGTTTGTTCATGTTTTTTTTTTATTTTCAGATATTTTCTGGACCCGTAAGTTGTTGAACATGTTTTGTTTACTGCATTTTTTTTGTTTTTGATGGTTTTTATTGAAATGTATACAAATTTGGGTTCGGCAAAGAATGTTTTTTTTTCTGATTTTTTTCAGACCCCCTAATCATTCACGAAAGCTATGGGTGGGCAAGCTAGAAGATGGAACGACTGAGGAAAACATCCGAGATGCATTTTCCGTGTATGGACCCCTGGAGGAGGTCATCTTCCGAGATGACTACGCCTTTGTCATATTCGAAGAAGAGGACCACGCCACGGCAGCCATGACTGCGCTCCACGAAAGGTAAGAGACAGAGATGTCTTGGAAAGCAAGCAGTTACTCAGTTTGAAGCCGTTCAAGTTTTATTAATCCGCCCAACATAAATGTCAAACATATCTGTTCACAGAGCTTAAGATGCTATTTATGTTCTAGCGTTATTTCAAACCTTTTACAAGCATAATGGAAAGCTATCATTTATAATATGAAGTCCTAGATGCATTTGGTATGACTGGCAAACCTCCTAGGTGTATTTGGTATAACTGAAGTCCTAGATATATTTGGTATGACTGAAGTCCTAGATGTATTTGGTATGACTGGCAAGCCAGTTGTTTGATCTTTGACCACTCAGGTATTTTCAATGCAACGATTTTATGAAGGAAAAAATTCATTCTTTTGAGCATTCAGAGTCACTTCAAAAATATTGCTTGTCGATTTTGTGTTAAGCAAGCTTGGGACTACTGAGTCGGTGAAGGTGGAGGCCCCTAGGGAGCGCAGGAGGAATAGAGGTGGCTACTACGGCGGCGGAGGGTTCCGAGACAACAGGGGGTTCGGAGGTTACGGCGGCGGATATGACAGGTATTGTATTCAAATGCTGAAAGGGCTCATTAAAAGTCCGTTGTAATTACTTTCTAATTGCTCAACATAAAAGCCGAAAAGATTTGATCGCTTAATTTTTGTTTGATACGCGTTATCGTGTTTAGCTCTCTCTATGTGATTATACTCGTTTTTTCTTTAAACCATGAGCATTTAAGCAGGGTTAGATTGAATTTTTGCACTTGTAGTAGGGGTTTTCATTTTAGACAGTTTCTTCTTTTTGTGCAGCAGATGGGTTCCGCTTTGGAGAGCACGTTTATCTTGGTGCTGACGAGAACTTTCGTAAAAGAAATTCAATGAATTAACTTCTAGATTTCTTAGGGGTGGCTTCCGTGGCGGCAGAGGAGGCTACGGAGACGGCGGCTATGGCGGAGGATACGGCGGTGGATATGGAGGTGGCTACGGTGGAGGTGGAGGCGGATTTCGAGGTCGAGGCGGCGGAGGTGGATTCCGAGGCAACCGCGACGGAGGCTACGGAGGTCGCGATGGAGGCTACGGAGGCCGAGACGGTGGATATGGCGGCCGCGATGGAGGATACGGGGGCGGAGGTCGCTATGGAGGAAACGGATTCCAGAGGTACTAGAACGGACCACTCAGTAGAACCGAAGACGTCGTCTAGTGTCCAATGCGTTGGAAGAGCAAGACAGCGATTATTGACTGTACAGCACATGATATTTAGCTTATGTTCCTCTTTCTTGTGTGATTGTTTTACTTGTGCTCTTCTAATTCGACGAAACCTAGTTTCTACAGTCAATTTAACGATGTTCCTATATTGGTCAGATATTTGTAACTGTTTGAATTGTTCTTGGAAACACATCTTTGGATCTACCGATTAAGTTCGTTTCATTTATAGCAAAAGATGATGCAGTGATGTTTGATTTCTGAATTTGAATGCTTACTTGAACTGCAACTTCTGAGTTTTTTCTCAGCAAAAATTGACATTGACTAAATAAGACGTAGAACTAACAAAAAGTTCCTGTAAAATGCGGCGTTTTTTTTTTGCTTTTACTGAGCCATTAATTATTGGGCCGCGGAAATTCATATTAAGTCATACCTCATAAAGCACGGACGGCTTCAGAGGATAAATATTTGAACCTATGATTAAAAATCAGTTTTGACATTCAAGTGACTAGAAAACTTTGATGCATATCATTTCAGTTCCCAATGTAGCACAAACATTGCTACTGATGTTCAAATATCCGCAATGTGCAGTGAACGAGAATGAAATTCCAATCTTCAGTGCAATAAAGCTACCTGCAACTGCGTTGGAAAATTTCGATAAGCGCATCGAAAAACAGTCAAGTCGTTCTAATATTAATTTGAAGTTTGAATGCGAACAAGGCATTTTGAATAACGCTGGTAAGAAAGTTCATTTTTGTGAAAACGTTCAGATCTTCAAAGTAAGTCCTTCGAAATCTAATAGCCCTAGTGAAAACAAACTAGAACCATACACTGAACCATTGCAAGATCCAGACAATGAAGATGACGATGAAGATCCTCCCAGTCCGGTTATTGGCTCAAAAAACTCGCCGAGTTTGACCCCTGTTGTGAAGTCAGGGGCCACTGAGATGGTTGACACGCCATTGGCCGGATCTTCGGATACTAAAGCATTTACGTGTCGGAGTGTTCTTTTTGGAGGTGATGATGATTCAATAGAAAATAGCGATCACGCTCTCGCTCCCGAAGCTGAAAAGTCAAATTTGAAAGAGCCGAGCAAACTTTTTGAGGTAACTTCAGAAGACGATTCTGGGTTTATCTCGTTCTCTCAAATGACCGACATGTTTAAAGAAAGTTTCAACTCTCAAACTGGAGAATCGTTGCCTCCAAATCGGCCTCAAAATGTTGAGCGATCGAATAAGTTGTTGGAAGCTTACCTTTGTAATTTGCTTGTTTGTTTTTAAAACAGTTATGGATTTCAAACAAGTGAAAGTTTTGAAACTTTGGCCGTTTTTTGGACGTTTTGCGACTTTACTCGACCACTACCGTGCCAATTCTTAGGTTACGTGTTCAATCGAGAAACTGTTTTTTTTGTGTTTTTTCTTTACTTTACCAGCCACCACCGGCTTTTTGCAGAAAAAAGTTACAGATTTCAGAGAGTTTTTTCACTTTGACTATTTTTAGAAGCTTTTTGAATTTTTTTTAAGAAGTACTCCATCAAATGTGAAATGAAATGATCATTCGAAACAAGCGGTTGCGCGAATTTATCCTGCTGAAGCGGCTACGTTATGTTTTTTTTTGTAAGAGAAATTTTACGTCTTCGTGAACATTTCAAAATCTCAAATCTTTTCTCTCTTCTCACAAATTCTAGTAGAGAAACAACTAACTAAACTCTTGGGCAAAGTCCAATTTTTGTAATAACGCATTTCATAAGCGTCTACGTGCAAATTGTTTTAAACACAAACCTATGCTTCTGGGAAATATCAATTATCTGATTTGTTGAGCGATCGAATAAGTTGTTGGAAGCTTACCTTTGTAATTTGCTTGTTTGTTTTTAAAACAGTTATGGATTTCAAACAAGTGAAAGTTTTGAAACTTTGGCCGTTTTTTGGACGTTTTGCGACTTTACTCGACCACTACCGTGCCAATTCTTAGGTTACGTGTTCAATCGAGAAACTGTTTTTTTTGTGTTTTTTCTTTACTTTACCAGCCACCACCGGCTTTTTGCAGAAAAAAGTTACAGATTTCAGAGAGTTTTTTCACTTTGACTATTTTTAGAAGCTTTTTGAATTTTTTTTAAGAAGTACTCCATCAAATGTGAAATGAAATGATCATTCGAAACAAGCGGTTGCGCGAATTTATCCTGCTGAAGCGGCTACGTTATGTTTTTTTTTGTAAGAGAAATTTTACGTCTTCGTGAACATTTCAAAATCTCAAATCTTTTCTCTCTTCTCACAAATTCTAGTAGAGAAACAACTAACTAAACTCTTGGGCAAAGTCCAATTTTTGTAATAACGCATTTCATAAGCGTCTACGTGCAAATTGTTTTAAACACAAACCTATGCTTCTGGGAAATATCAATTATCTGATTTGTTGAGCGATCGAATAAGTTGTTGGAAGCTTACCTTTGTAATTTGCTTGTTTGTTTTTAAAACAGTTATGGATTTCAAACAAGTGAAAGTTTTGAAACTTTGGCCGTTTTTTGGACGTTTTGCGACTTTACTCGACCACTACCGTGCCAATTCTTAGGTTACGTGTTCAATCGAGAAACTGTTTTTTTTGTGTTTTTTCTTTACTTTACCAGCCACCACCGGCTTTTTGCAGAAAAAAGTTACAGATTTCAGAGAGTTTTTTCACTTTGACTATTTTTAGAAGCTTTTTGAATTTTTTTTAAGAAGTACTCCATCAAATGTGAAATGAAATGATCATTCGAAACAAGCGGTTGCGCGAATTTATCCTGCTGAAGCGGCTACGTTATGTTTTTTTTTGTAAGAGAAATTTTACGTCTTCGTGAACATTTCAAAATCTCAAATCTTTTCTCTCTTCTCACAAATTCTAGTAGAGAAACAACTAACTAAACTCTTGGGCAAAGTCCAATTTTTGTAATAACGCATTTCATAAGCGTCTACGTGCAAATTGTTTTAAACACAAACCTATGCTTCTCGGAAATATCAACTATCTGATTTGTTAACCGATCGAATAAGTTGTGGGAAGCTTACCTTTATAATTTGCTTGTTTGTTTTTAGAAAAGTTATGGATTTCAAACAAGTGACCGTTTTGAAACTTTGGCCGTTTTTTGGACGTTTTGCAACTTTACTCGACCACTAACGTGCCAATTCTTAGGTTACGTGTTCAATCGAGAAACTTTTCTTTTGTTTTTTTCTACTTTACAGGCCACCACCTGATTTTTGCAGAAAAAAGTTACGGATTTCAAAGAGTTTTTTCACTTTGACTATTTTTAGAAACTTTTTGAATTTTTTTAAAAAGTACTCTAACAAATATGAAATGAAATGATCATTCGAAATAAGCGGTTGCGCGAATTTTTCCTGCAGAAGCGGCAGCGTTATGTTTTTTTTTGTAAGAGAAGTTTTACGTCTTTGTGAACATTCCGAAATCTCAAATCTTTTCTCTCTTCTCACAAATTTTAGTAGAGAAACAACTAACTAAACTCTTAGGCAAAGTCCAATTTTTGAAATAACGCATTTCATAAGCGTCTACGTGCAAATTGTTTTAAACATAAAGCTATGCTTCTCGGAAATAACAACTATCTGATTTGTTGACCGATCGAATAAGTTGTTGGAAGCTTACCTTTGTAATTTGCTTGTTTGTTTTTAATAAAGTTATGGATTTCAAACAAGTGAAAGTTTTGAAACTTTGGCCGTTTTTTGGACGTTTTGTGACTTTACTCGACCACTACCGTGCCAATTCTTAAGTTACGTGTTCAATCGAGAAACTTCTTTTTGTGTTTTTTCTCTACTTTACCGGCCACCACCTGCTTTTTGCAGAGAAAAGTTACGGATTTCAGAGAATTTTTTCACTTTGACTTTTTTTAGAAGCTTTTTGAATTTTTTTAAAAAGTACTCTATCAAATGTGAAATGAAATGTTCATTCGAAGTAAGCGGTTGCGCGAATTTTTCCTGCAGAAGCGGCTACGTTATATTTTTTTGTAAGAGAAATGTTACGTCTTTGGGAACATTCCGAAATCTCAAATATGTTCACTCTTCTCACAAATTTTAGTAGAGAAACAACTAACTAAACTCTTAAGCAAAGTCCAATTTTTGAAATACGCGTTTCTTCTTTCTTTTTCAAATAATTGTGTTGTATCTGAAGTGGTGCGAAGCTCGCCTTCGCGTCTGTGTCTTATTAATGCGATGTTAGACATGGAACATATCGTCCCAATTTTTTCGTTAAACAGTTGAAGGTTCACTTTTTTTGCTTTCATTGTTGAAATCCAATTTTGGGTGTGTATTATTCACACAAGCGAGCTTGTGAGCATTATGACGAGTACACTGTTTTTCAATCCAACTTGCATTAAATAGTCCTCATTTTAGTGGCAGTTTTGCTGCATGAAGTTGGCAAATATATAGCCTGTGTTTATCCTAGTCAATAGTTGCTCGTGTCGATCAACTCAAGAGCACAATGAGCAGATGCGAGGACGTGTGAGGTTCTTTCTCTGTAGGTCAGGTGTTTGTTTCCGCCACCTTGTGAAATTTTTATTTTTCAAGATTTATTTTTTGCATTTTCTTCCTATATTTTACTTGGCTTAACGTCTCTTGGGTCTGTGCGAAGGGCAGATTGCCTCCTGTGTTTATTTGCCGGATAGGTGGGAATGCTGGAGATAAGTTTTCTTCGCCTTTCAAGTTTTCGTTGGTTTTTTTTCATTTATATCTTTTATCTTTTTAGTTGACGATCAATGAATTAAAAAGTTATTTTACTTTGTCTTCGTTCGGCTGCAAGTATTCGTCTATCAAAAAAATGCCAATTTTTGTCTCTTTCTTGAATGTTTGTTCATGTTTTTTTTTTTATTTTCAGATATTTTGTGGACCCGTAAGTTGTTGAACATGTTTTGTTTACTGCATTTTTTTTGTTTTTGATGGTTTTTATTGAAATGTATACAAATTTGGGTTCGGCAAAGAATGTTTTTTTTTCTGATTTTTTTCAGACCCCCTAATCATTCACGAAAGCTATGGGTGGGCAAGCTAGAAGATGGAACGACTGAGGAAAACATCCGAGATGCATTTTCCGTGTATGGACCCCTGGAGGAGGTCATCTTCCGAGATGACTACGCCTTTGTCATATTCGAAGAAGAGGACCACGCCACGGCAGCCATGACTGCGCTCCACGAAAGGTAAGAGACAGAGATGTCTTGGAAAGCAAGCAGTTACTCAGTTTGAAGCCGTTCAAGTTTTATTAATCCGCCCAACATAAATGTCAAACATATCTGTTCACAGAGCTTAAGATGCTATTTATGTTCTAGCGTTATTTCAAACCTTTTACAAGCATAATGGAAAGCTATCATTTATAATATGAAGTCCTAGATGCATTTGGTATGACTGGCAAACCTCCTAGGTGTATTTGGTATAACTGAAGTCCTAGATATATTTGGTATGACTGAAGTCCTAGATGTATTTGGTATGACTGGCAAGCCAGTTGTTTGATCTTTGACCACTCAGGTATTTTCAATGCAACGATTTTATGAAGGAAAAAATTCATTCTTTTGAGCATTCAGAGTCACTTCAAAAATATTTGCTTGTCGATTTTGTGTTAAGCAAGCTTGGGACTACTGAGTCGGTGAAGGTGGAGGCCCCTAGGGAGCGCAGGAGGAATAGAGGTGGCTACTACGGCGGCGGAGGGTTCCGAGACAACAGGGGGTTCGGAGGTTACGGCGGCGGATATGACAGGTATTGTATTCAAATGCTGAAAGGGCTCATTAAAAGTCCGTTGTAATTACTTTCTAATTGCTCAACATAAAAGCCGAAAAGATTTGATCGCTTAATTTTTGTTTGATACGCGTTATCGTGTTTAGCTCTCTCTATGTGATTATACTCGTTTTTTCTTTAAACCATGAGCATTTAAGCAGGGTTAGATTGAATTTTTGCACTTGTAGTAGGGGTTTTCATTTTAGACAGTTTCTTCTTTTTGTGCAGCAGATGGGTTCCGCTTTGGAGAGCACGTTTATCTTGGTGCTGACGAGAACTTTCGTAAAAGAAATTCAATGAATTAACTTCTAGATTTCTTAGGGGTGGCTTCCGTGGCGGCAGAGGAGGCTACGGAGACGGCGGCTATGGCGGAGGATACGGCGGTGGATATGGAGGTGGCTACGGTGGAGGTGGAGGCGGATTTCGAGGTCGAGGCGGCGGAGGTGGATTCCGAGGCAACCGCGACGGAGGCTACGGAGGTCGCGATGGAGGCTACGGAGGCCGAGACGGTGGATATGGCGGCCGCGATGGAGGATACGGGGGCGGAGGTCGCTATGGAGGAAACGGATTCCAGAGGTACTAGAACGGACCACTCAGTAGAACCGAAGACGTCGTCTAGTGTCCAATGCGTTGGAAGAGCAAGACAGCGATTATTGACTGTACAGCACATGATATTTAGCTTATGTTCCTCTTTCTTGTGTGATTGTTTTACTTGTGCTCTTCTAATTCGACGAAACCTAGTTTCTACAGTCAATTTAACGATGTTCCTATATTGGTCAGATATTTGTAACTGTTTGAATTGTTCTTGGAAACACATCTTTGGATCTACCGATTAAGTTCGTTTCATTTATAGCAAAAGATGATGCAGTGATGTTTGATTTCTGAATTTGAATGCTTACTTGAACTGCAACTTCTGAGTTTTTTTCAGCAAAAATTGACATTGACTAAATAAGACGTAGAACTAACAAAAAGTTCCTGTAAAATGCGGCGTTTTTTTTTTGCTTTTACTGAGCCATTAATTATTGGGCCGCGGAAATTCATATTAAGTCATACCTCATAAAGCACGGACGGCTTCAGAGGATAAATATTTGAACCTATGATTAAAAATCAGTTTTGACATTCAAGTGACTAGAAAACTTTGATGCATATCATTTCAGTTCCCAATGTAGCACAAACATTGCTACTGATGTTCAAATATCCGCAATGTGCAGTGAACGAGAATGAAATTCCAATCTTCAGTGCAATAAAGCTACCTGCAACTGCGTTGGAAAATTTCGATAAGCGCATCGAAAAACAGTCAAGTCGTTCTAATATTAATTTGAAGTTTGAATGCGAACAAGGCATTTTGAATAACGCTGGTAAGAAAGTTCATTTTTGTGAAAACGTTCAGATCTTCAAAGTAAGTCCTTCGAAATCTAATAGCCCTAGTGAAAACAAACTAGAACCATACACTGAACCATTGCAAGATCCAGACAATGAAGATGACGATGAAGATCCTCCCAGTCCGGTTATTGGCTCAAAAAACTCGCCGAGTTTGACCCCTGTTGTGAAGTCAGGGGCCACTGAGATGGTTGACACGCCATTGGCCGGATCTTCGGATACTAAAGCATTTACGTGTCGGAGTGTTCTTTTTGGAGGTGATGATGATTCAATAGAAAATAGCGATCACGCTCTCGCTCCCGAAGCTGAAAAGTCAAATTTGAAAGAGCCGAGCAAACTTTTTGAGGTAACTTCAGAAGACGATTCTGGGTTTATCTCGTTCTCTCAAATGACCGACATGTTTAAAGAAAGTTTCAACTCTCAAACTGGAGAATCGTTGCCTCCAAATCGGCCTCAAAATGAATTTTCATTGAATGAGAAAGTCAGTATCATCGATGTTTCGCCTCAATTTAAAACTGAAACACCAGTTATTGAAAATCTAGCGAAAGATTGCGACTTAACGCAACCTAGCAACAATAGCAAAAACAAAGAAGACGACCCCGTTTTTATACCAAAAATGATCGGTTTTCAAACTGCTCGTGGATCATCGATCAGTATATCAGCAGAAGCTCTTCAAAAAAGCTCAAAAATTATATTGGAGATTGACAGCGACTACATTATTCAAGAAAGTTCCAAGCTAATTCAAGAAAGTTCCAAGCTGACCAATGGAATTGATAACTTTTCACGTGTTCGTGTTCCTCGTAAAGCTTCAAAGAACCGCCTCGGAACTTCCGGATCAAAGTTCGAAACTTCGGTCATTGATTTAAGTGAAGGTACTCCCTGTGTTGGTTTCAAAACAGGAGGCGGCAAATCCATTGAGATCTCGAAAACCTCTTTGGACAAAAGTAAGAAAATTCTGGCTGAACTTGAAGAACCTGCTGATGCAGGGTATAAATTAAGTTTTGGTTCTTGCGAATTCGCTACGGCAGGAGGTAAAAGTATTAAGATGTCAGACGAAGCTTTAGCAAGAAGTGCGAAGATACTTGAAGGAATCGAACAAGATGTGAAAATGGAAAATTCAGAACTTAATGAAAACGCTTCTTTTTTTGTCACTAATGTCAAGTTGGAAAATGCTGAACCTACATTGGAATCCTTTGTGAGTACTGGATTCAAATCTGCCAGAGGAAATGCTTTCAAAGTAAGCAAAGAAGCCTTTGAAAAGTCTAAGAAATTACTAAATGATGAAGATGTTGGCGATTGTACAGATACGATTCAAGAGGACATAAATAAAAATCAGGCAGTAAGTGCTACTGGTGCTAGCTCGTCTAAAGCTAGAAATATACTTGATACATCTCCTGATTTGCCAACTGAAAAGAATCCACAAAAACCCAGCGGTTTTAAACCAGTAATTCAAAAATGTCGCAAAACTTCGGAATCGGTAGAAAATGTCAGTAAATCGAAACACCTGAATGATGCCAGCGCCAATAAAAATCTTGTTAAAGTTGAAAAAACGCAATTTAATACGTTGGAACCAGTTATAACGTCCCCTTGTGAAGTCGGAAAAAGGCGAAATACAGCTTTCAAGTCTCCGCTGTTTGCAGACAAATTGTTACGGCCGCCATCTGATATAAAATGTGAGAAGAAAACACATCACGGAGACGATGATTCGAAAAGTATCTCAGATATGTCGAAATTTAATTGGAATTTGATGAGTAAAATGGGAAGAGTAATGACCATAAAATTGAATTGCACAAATACTTTATCACTGGCAGATTTAGCAGTGTTGAACAATTTCAACGAAAATACCTCGCGTACAAAAACTAAGCAATACGCGACAAATTCCTGTTATTCTAAAGAGAATCACTTTGTTTTTGCGGGTTCTGATTTTAAATTTCAAGCTGATCAGTTTTTCTCAAAACGAGCAATTGAAAAGGGATTCGCATTTGTGGGCGACAATGCTAAGTTGATTCTCCGCGATACAGGATTCATTGATGTTGAAGATTTTCATCAGGCTCTGTTAACTATTCCAGGTAATTGTCTTTTTATAGAGCAGAAAAACTTATATATATTGAAGAAAAACCAGGCCAATCCTTTTATTTATGCTTTGTTATACCTTTCACTTATGGGCGTTTTTGTTCCGACAGTTCTGGGAATAGTGCAAAAGAAGGATGGTGTAGAGTGTTTTTTTTTCGGCGAGGTATCAGATAGCTCGAAGTTCCTGGTAGTTCAACAAAAAACTAATCGATGGTAAACATTCGTATTCAATTGACGATAATTCAATCGTAAATTTGATTCCAAAAGTGTTCTACATTTTGTATTCTGATTGCTGTTCTATGGACGATTAAAATGTACTTTGGGTAGCGGTCTTAAAATTGTGCTTGGCCTTGTAAATGTCTATGAACGAAGTGAAGACATCTATTAAAATGGTACTTTTTCCTTTTCACATTTGATAGTGTTTTTAAAGGCCAGGTACTCTCTCCAATTACGAAATTAGAAATGCGCTAAAAAACTGGAATGGCGTTACTTTCATAAATTTCATAAAATCATAAAATTTCAGTCAATTTTTTTGGTCTTTTTCCGACACTCATGCCTAATTTGGCAGCTTAGTTTTAATGTCCCAGTTGTCCAGGAAAAGAGTAAAAATTGTTTGACATATTTTTTTCAAATAACGTTCGTTTGACAAATTATTAAGAGTCGATGAACGTAGTTCAGACTCTGATATAGGTCGTGATGATTTTTTTTCGTTTTTTTTTCTGGAAAAGTTTAAAATGCTCTAATAACAAAACAAGTGCATTTATACTTATAAAGGCATATATGGAAGACCTTAGGTATATGTGCACTTTTTGAGTTAAATTCAATTTCGTTTGCTAGAAGGATGGCAAATGCACTCTTCAATTATGAAAGCTGAAGGGTGAGAAAACACGTAATCGACTTCTAGTTTCGAAAGTGGAATTTAATTTCTCAGCGGAATGATTTTTTTCTTAATAATCCAGCTTTCTCGAGTTGTGTTAATTTTTTTTCTAACAAGTGCCTATTATAAATTGCTTTCGAAATTCCAAGAGCTTCAATGCCATTCTTATCTTTTTTTGAAATTCGGAAGTTGTAGTTTTCAAAAAACAAGTCAATTTTTTTATTGACTCTTTTCCAACGGTCTGTTAAGTATGTTCGACTAATTTTTTAGCAGAGTTTTTAATTGACCTTAACTGCTTGAAGGCATACAAAAACTAGTTTTTTGATGAAAGTTATAAAAGATTTTTTTTTGTGAATTTTAGACCATAGTTTGTTCTGTAAGCATTGGTTCTGCTTTAATAGCTGGTAAAGGTTTGACTCAATCAAATTGGTTTTAAAAATGCAGTCCAGTGGAATCCTTTATACCCATAAAACACAGTAACTAGAATGACCGGTTGCTGTGTTAGTAGCTTATAATGTTCCGACCAGAATAAAAAATATATCATTTTCTTCTCCAAATAGCGTCGTTTTTTGAGTGTTTGCAGAGAGGATATAAACTTGAGCTATAGTAAGAGTAAATTAGGTAGATTTTACCACAAGTTTTCGAAAAAATAGCAGAAAAATTAAAAACAAAATTAATTTTCCACTAAAAGCTGAAAACATCGAAAATTATTTTAAGACTGCTAATGTAAGTCTTCTATATTCACTTAATTAGCTCGAAGTTAGACAAAAATTCAAAATTTCAAGCTTGATTTTGGCGTGGTAAACGAAGTAGAAGAAACTAAAACACAAACTAAGAAAAAAATTTTCTCTCTATTTTCAATGGTCGGAAAAACATCATGGAAGATTTAAATCGAAATCTGAAGTAAACCAGCAAAAATTACTTGAGACCAGTGAAAATAGAAGCGTTGACAGGTTCTGAAATCCTTGTGTTAGGGTTTCTATTGGCTCAAGTTTGTTGACACTCTAAATACAGAACATGTGTTTATCGCGTATTGTTTCTCTTTTTTAGTTTTTTTTTCAAAAAAACTCAATTTTTCGTTCAAATAGCTTCTAATAAATAGTTCTTTAGGGTAAAATTTAGTGTAGTTTTTGTTTGTTTTCATTTCCAAAAATTTCTGATCATTTTTCACGCGGTTATGTTTATTTTGGCCAAGCAATTTTGTCAACTGTAGACTATGACCGAAAGTTAAGTGACAGATGTCTTTTCAGCATATCTGCCTTGCAAATATTTATTCTCTTCGAAGATGGCTCTTTATGTTAGGAGTTAATTTCAAACTTAAATTTTGTTTAAATTATCTCTGATTGTTTAATTTGGCTTAAGTTGTGTGAGTGTGCCTGTTCGCGTGTGTGTTTGGGGCGCCGAAAAAAGTTGCACATAATTTTAGATGACAAAAATTGTTAACGGCTCAATAAGTGTGTACCGAATTTTTGTTGGCTTAGGTAACGCCCGGTAAGTTTCAACTGGAAATAGTCTTTTATGCGTTTTATTTTGGACCTCATTTGAGGCAATCCTATTACATTTGCGAAAAGCAAGCGTTATCAAATCAGAACAAAGACTTTTTCGGGTTAACAGCTATTTGAACAGAATCAAACTCTGTCAGAAAATTAAGTGACCGACATATTTTCAGCATATCTGCATTGTAAATATTTAGTCCCTTCGAAGTTTGCTTTTTATGTTAGTAGTCGATTTCGAACTCTAATATTGTTGAAAAAGAACCTATCTTAAAGTTTAATTCGGCTTAAGTTGTGTGGGTGTGCATGAGTGCGCGGGTTTTTGTGTTAGTGGCTTTGAAAAAAGTTGCACATAATTTTTGGATGACAAAAGGTGTTTACGGTCAAATAGGTATATGCCGAATTATTGTAGGCTTAGTTAACGCTTAGTAAGTTTTCTGTGAGAGGTTTTTATTGCTCGAAATGGTCTTTTATGAGTTTTATTGGACTTCATTTGAGGCAATTTTATAACATTTGCAAATAGCAAGCGTTATCAAATCAGAATATAGATTTTTTCGGGTTAACAGCTAGTTAAAGAGAATCATTGGAATCATCGCCTCCTTGGTTACCGCATTTGAAATCAAAAGCATGGGGTTAATTTGCGCATGTAGCGTAGAGAAACAAACCTGCTCAAAAGACCAAAATCAATGGTTCAAATCCGGCGATGACCTGTTTTTTTTTGGTAATCAGAAACTTTTTAAGTGACAAAAAATCTTCGTCGGACTTTGGGTCTGCTTGTTTTTATTGGCTTAGTTGTCCCAGCACGGAATTTGCCTCAGATTTGAGCCTTTCTTCCGAAAGTTAAAAATCTATTCAGTGTATACAGGGCCGAATCCAGGATTTTCTCGAGGGGGGGGGGGGGGGGGGTGCGGATTTTCAAAAAAATTTCAAACCTTTTTTTATAGGTCGGCCAAATTGATTTTCCGAGCTCTCCTAGAGAACTAAAAAGACACTGTTCTAGCCAAATTTTCTGCGCCGCACTTAAGAAAATTTTGACAAAAAAATTGAATTTTTTTTGGCGCGCTCTCCCTCTCAAAGTTAGTATATATTGGTGCCAAAGGCGCCTTCAGAAAAACTGAAGGGTCGGTCGGCCAAAAGTGGATTTCTTAAAAAGTAGAAAAGGGGGCCCCTTTGGGTCGGCATGGAGTCGAATCCCTGAGTGGGGGGGGGGGGGGTGTTCGCCCCCCCCCCCCTAAATCCGCCCCTGAGTGTATATATATTTTTTCTTTTTGGAGGTTTTTATTGTTTTGATTGCAAATATTCAATTATTTATATGCCAGTACTACGGCGTAAAAAACTCTTCTAACTTCACAATTGTTTCGCTCGCCTGGTTTGAGTTCGTCAACAGCTTTTTGAAGCACAAGGGTTAGGGAATGGCTAGATTGTACCTAATTTCGCAAAATATGTTACTGGTTGTCAGCGAGTTTTTACCCTGTAATTTTGCATTAGTTTGTGTATCGCAGGGGTGCCAAGCTCAGTATCAATTTTGTGTGAAGTTTTTTGTCGAAGTTTTTGAAAATCTTTTCGACTTAGCATTTTAGTTCATTTTCTGTTGACTGGCTTGTCATGCTAAGTTAATATAGTTTGCAAATGGACGGCAATGTACCCTCACTAGTAATAGAAGTTCAATGGCACTAAAAATGGAGATTGACTTTCAGTTTCAAAAGTGTATGTTGCTTTTAGATTTTCTGCCGAACAATAAATAATCTCTAGATCCAGCGTTCTGAAAGTGTGTTAACTCTTGAAAATCAAAGAGAATTATGATCCCTGTTTTGGAAAAATTAGTCGTTTATTTCTGATTCATTCAAATTTTCCTGTTGGCTATGTTTTTATTGATTGTTGTTTTTTTACTGTTTTCACTTTGTTGTTTCCAGGTGTTCCAAGGGCTGCGGCATCACTGAAGTGGGTAAAAAATGCCTGTCAATGGATTCTGTGGAAACTAGCTGCTTACGAACTAAGTTTCCCACAGGTGTTCAAACCTTTCTCTCTTCTGAGCCCCAATTGCGTTATCTCTCAGCTCAAATACAGATTCGACAAAGAGTATCATCTAGGATTGAGATCGGCATTTCGTAAAATTATAGAACACGACGATGTTCCAATGAAGTGCATGATAGTGTTGGTCTCAAATGTGAACGCGAATAAATTGCCATATATGGAAGTCAGCGATGGTTGGTATTCGTTGGATTGTGAAATCGATCAGCCAATGTTGGAACTCATTCGGAAAGGACGACTGAAAATTGGAAACAAAATAGCAATTTGTGGATCTCAATTACTGAATGCAGAAGTTCCCTCTGAACCGCTAGAAAAAAGCGACGGTGCTAGGTTGAAAATATCGTATAATGGATGTAGGCCTGCAAAATGGGATGCAAAATTGGGTTTCTACAGATACCAAGATGTTTTCTTGGTTCCGGTGTATACGATAAAAGGCGCTGGAGGTTTGATACCTAAAGTTCATGTCATAATTCAGCGGGTTTATCCTATGGAAATTTCAGAAACTCTTTCAAATGGTAATTTGATTGTGAAAACCGAGCGTCAGCATAAACTTGACATGAACAAAAGAATTGACGAACTTGAATCAAAAAGATTCAAAAGCGGAGTTGATTCTGAATTTTCAGAGGGCGCGCAAAAAAGTTTTGAATCGAGGCTGAAAATTACACTGAAAATTCGAGTTTCGGATGTGAAGAGTTCGTCGAGCTGTGCTATTTTGAATATATGGAACCCTTCGGAAAGTTTATTCGACCAACTGAAAGAGGGAGTTGACATTTTAATCGCAAATTTAAAACCGATAAATTCGTATCACAATGAAACATCTTGTATTACAATAGCAACAACGCGAACTACAGTATTTATACCAGGAAATAGAAAACTGGGAAAAAATCATAAAAAGGTATTTAGCTTTGTACCTCGAAACCTTATCAGTTCGTTTGGAAATGGTGAAATTTGTGATGACTTTAACGAGTTTGATATCATAGGAATAGTTGCTCGCATTAACGACGGAAACGCCCCTGTTGTTTTTCTCTGTGATGAGTCAAGTAATTTAGCAGTTATTATGTTTCAGCAATCACTGAAGCATCTAGCCTTTGATAAAATTATATCAGTTAAATCGGTGCTTCGTTTCAAAAATGTGAGACAAAATAAAAGAGTTCAGCCACAAACAAGTAGTGTGTTACATTTTGACTTCTGTGCAATATCGGACGTACAACTGTGCTCAACTGAACAGGCTAAAAAGTTTAATGAAAACATGCTGAAAATTTTAAGCTCTGCGCAGAAATCAGTGCATCAGCTAATACATGGAACGAAAGTAAAATCATCTCAAAATGTGATCGGAAGTTCCAAGAAAAGATGGTTGAATTCGGATGAGTCAGAATCAAAAAGCTTGAACGAAAAAGGCTTCGATTGGAGAATGAAAAAATTGAGCTCGTATCCTTCACCGCCTCGAAATGCGAGTTTGAATTCGTTTGAAATTTTCACGCCGGTGGCTAAAAAGGCTAGGAACGAGTTCAAAAGTCCATGCAATCCGACCTTTTAAAGTTTGAGCTATGACTGATCTTGAAATTTTTGTCTATACTTTCGGTTTTACAGCTGCAATGGTTAATTATGATTGAACTGATCTGTGCAATTTAGAATTCGGTATTTAAGTTAAGACTTCGCATTTTGTTAGATTGATTTAAAAATATTTTATCTTTACCTCTAACAAGCTTTTATCGAATTTCGAGACCAGGAATGTTTCCTATATATTAAATAAATGACAGGAAAGTTAATTCCATGTTTTAGTTGTCATAAGGCGCAATGTTTTAAGAGCGATCATTGATTCAACTTCATGGCTATACAGTACCTGCCCACTTTCTGTCCCAAATTTTGCGTTTACAGATTCATTTCAGTCTAAAACGAATCAGCAACCTGCATGCTAAGAAAAACAAACTTTAAGCTAACCGATTCGAGCTATGAAATATTATGAAATATTTTGAAGTTTCATAGCTGGAATAGCTTGCTTCGAAATACTTGAATTTTTTGCAAACCGAATATGTCCATGTAAAAATTTTAAAAAAATTTCAAAGTTTTGGAGCCTGAATAGCTTGCTTAGGAAAACTCTAACTATTCGCGAACCGATTAATCGATGAGACAACTTGAAAAATTTCGTAATTTCATAGCTTGAATAGCTTGCGTAGAAAAACTGAAATTTACCGCTCACCGATTTGATCTAAAAAAATAACTTGGAAAAATTTAAAGTTTCATCGGTTGAGTAGCTTCACTAGAAAAACTTTTTCGCGATCGATCTGATTCCGTCCATGAGATAACTCTAAGTGTTTCAGATTTTCTTAGCTTGAATCGCTTCGTTGAGAAGAATTTGATTTTTCTCGGACTGATTTGCTCTATGTACACAAGCATAGCTTGTGTTATAGTATGAACTTTATTTTTTTTCCAACCTAAGTCGCAAATATTGTTGCGATGCATTTTTTGCGACAAAATGTGCTCATTTTGATCCAGCTTTTAAGTACAGCCAATGCTAAGGATATATTGTCACGGACTATTATATTACAAATAGCACGTTAGCTTCAAGGTATCATGGTTCTGTAGCGTAAGAGGTAGGGAAGGAGAACAGCAGCAAAATAAGAGGCTTTAAACCTGGACTGGGTCGGATGTTTTTAATAATATTTTTCGTATACTAGTTAAAATGCGCCCGCTCTATAAGATGAGGCATGTTAGTTGGTAAGTTTCTTTTGAAATTGACTGGTACTGCTAATGTGTCATAATTGGCCTGCGTCATTTAGCAATTATGTAGGACTCATAATTAGCGTGCGTCACTTGAGAAATTTTGTAGACTGAAAGTTGTACACATTCAGATTTTCCCAGTAGCGTTTTTGGTCATTTTTTTGCTTGTGTATACGAAGTGTAAATAATTTGAAATCCTCGAAGTTTTTCGGTAATACCTTGCATAAAAAAACTTGATTTTTTTTGCGAACCAGTTCGAGCTATGAACTAACTTGAAGTATTTTAAAGTTTAATAACTTGAAAGCTTGCTTATAAAAACTTCAACTTCTAGCAATTTTTCTTTTTATGACATTACTTGAAATACTCCATAGCTTGATTAGCTTGCCTGGAAAACTTGAACTTTTCACGAGCGATTCGATCTATGAAATAACTTGAATTATTTCAAAGTCTCATAGCTTGATTAAGAAAAGTATATTTTTTATCATCTGATTCGGTCTAAGAGCCAATTTGCAATATTTCAAATTTCTTAGCTAGACTGTTTCAATAGAAAAAGTTGAAAATATTGCCATTCGATTTGTTTTATGAAATAATTTGAAATTTATCAAGCTTTGATAGCTTGAAAAGTTTCTTAAGAATTAATTGATTTGGTGCGCGGACTGATTCGCTCTATGAATTAAATTGAAACTCCTCAAAGTGTTTTGCTCAATAGCTTGCATGAAAAAGTTTCGATTTTTTGCAAACCATTCGATATAGGCAATAACTTGAAATAAACTTCCGATTACCTTGGAGCTTGCTTAGAAAATTTGAATTTTCGCAGAGCTAGTTTCTCAATGAAATAACTCTAAATGTTTCAACATTTCATGGCTGGAAAAGCTTCAATAGGAAAGCTAAAACTTTTTGCCCTCCGATTCGCTTCGCTTAAAGAACTTGGAATATTTCAAAGTTTCATAGCTTGAATAGCTGTCTGAAAAATTGTTTAATTTTTTTGGCGGAACAATTTTCTCTAAAAAGTAACTCAAATAGTTCAATCAAACTTTTTAAGTCTTCTTAGCTTGAATGTCTTCAACAAAGAAACTTGAAGTTTTCACCATCCGAATCGCTTCATGAATCAACTTGAAACATTTCAAAGCTTTTTGCTGGAACACCTCGCTTAGAGACCTGGCTTAATTTGAAAATTTCGAAGTTTCATTGCTTGATCAGATTAACAACTATTTTTTTTGCGAGCCTATTGATTATTGGAGACAGATTTAACAATGTCAAGTAAAGAGTCAGGTTGAAGGGCCAAGTGAAAGAGTCGGGTGAACCTGCACATGTTTCTTCAGCACTTAAAGACCAGCCTCAGATTTAAATCGGTTTTATAATGGTTTTTAAAGTCTCATTTTGATACTCCATCTTCAGAAGAGTAATTATCATAAAAGCCGATAAGCAAGGGTATTGCACTCGGGTACTAGACTTTTTCCCGTAAATAACTTCAGAATGTTTAAAAGTAGAAATAGTAAATTTAGGTTCAGATCATAACAAATTTAAGTTTTTTTTGCGTCTCCGGCACACTTGGTCTGTAGCTAACGAATACGCCTGGGACAGCAAAGGTCGTAGGTTCGAATCTGACAAGTTTTTTTTTCAAGCGGAAAATATTCCGTTTCTAAAAAAATAGGCGGCCTATCATTTGTCTGCTTATGTTTTGTCGGCCACATCGTAGAATTGTTTTGTTATGCGCAATTTGCATTTTAGTTGCTTTTAGTGTTTGGATTTACTTTGGCTGTTTGTAATTTCTTGACTTTATAATTTTTTTGCTTAAAACATTTTTCTGCACGAATAATTTTTGCTTATAATTTATCGGCCCAGTGACCTTGTTTTGAGTCGTTTCACGTAAAACGTAGTTTTTATGCTCACTTCTGGATCGCAAGTTTGCTAAAATCCTAGCAGAAATTATGTTTCAAGTTTTTCACGAAAGCATTTTTTTTGGCTTTTTCCCCTTTTTCGGCGTGTTTGGCTTCGGCCTATATTGTATCGGTTTAATGACATACTGTTGCGTCTTTCGAAGAGCGAAAGCTGTGTAGTTGTGTGCGTTTTGAGGGCAATGGGGACTTGAAAGTTTTCCATTAGTCTTACATTTTTGAAAATAGTTTTTCGGCTTTTCTTTTTATTAGGCTTCGGTTTATATTATATCGGATTATTGGCATCATATTGTTCTCTGCTTTCTTTGTGGCTAGTGTTTTTGATTTATGAAGCGTCCGTGGCTGAGTTGTTGGTGGGTGAGACTCATAATCTCTAGGTCGGAGATCGAATCCGAGAGATAGCCGAATTTTTGTAAATCGATGTTTTTCTACTAATGCACTTAATAGAGCTGATTTTTTTTCATGTTGTTGTTAGTGTTTGCGAAGCGCAGCTTCGCCTCTGTGTTCGACGATTACATCGTAATGAAGTTTGAAGAATCTTTTTTGTTTTGTATAGCGGCTGAATGGACTTAACTATTCTTGCGATTAGTATGTTACAGAAGGCTTTCAAGTTTTTTAAAAGTTTTCATTGAAATTTTTAATCTTTTAATTTTTAAAATTTTTTTGAGACCGGGCTTTTTTTATTGCGGAGTATAAAATTATTGCATTGAGGAGTATATAAAATTTTGTTTGTGCCATCTTGCTTTCTTACTTGATGGGAAAGTAATAGCTTCACGTAGTGTTAGCTACACGAAATTTAGATTGGGTTGCTATCGCGGCGACGCGGGCTTCACGCGCCAACCGGCGATCTTAAACCGAAGTTCTCAAGTTTTAAATTAATTGCGAGTTGTCGCTTTCCTCAAATTTTGCGATTTGACTTTTGTTGCGAGGTGTCATGCTGCCATTTAACATAGCGTGTTTGTGCGAGTGAGTGAAAAAGTTTTTTTGTTTGTTTAAATTTGCTTGTGTTTGAAAACTACAGTGTAAACTATTTTTTCTGGAAATTTGAAGTCGATCATAGCTTACAGGCATACGCCCATTTGCGGCAGGTCAGGGCTTACGTTGCTTTCCAGAAAAGTAAATATCCGATCTCTTACTCTTGTTTCAGATTTTTTTGGTCTGTAAGCTACTTCAGATGAGTGGAGATAGTTCATCTGTTGCTGACTTGGAGGCTGTGTACACAAGTATTGAAACGAGTCACCTGAGTAACATTGACAATTCAACATCACAATCACCCGTTGCTTCTTTACCCGATGTTGTAACTGCGGGCCATGTTATACCATCCACGTTATACCAAGTGCAGACAGTTTCAAACGGGACAGAAGCAACAAATGCAAATACAGGCATTGTGCAATCAAATTCGCAGCCTGAACAAGTTTCAGCTGCTGGAGCAATATACCACTCCCACCCAGGTTCTCCTCAAAGACAGATGTCTAATTTGACTTCATCGGAAAGCACGCCTAGTTCACCGCATCATCAACTGGCCACAAGTGTGTTCAGCCAGCCTAAAGGTCAAATCGGGTTCACCATTGATTTTGACGATACTGGAGTTTCGTGGAACTTAAAAAGCGACTTGAATCAATTTCTACCAAATAGTCGCAAAAGCAAAATGGAAGAGCGAAGAATTGCAGTGAAAGAAACACCGAAGAATTACGCAGAAGAATCTGAAGCGTTTGAGAAGGCAGATGGAAATGATCAACCACACGATCAAAACGCTCGACAATCAATTGACAAAGACGATTTATTAAGTGAAGCTGGAACTTATATACTCGATAACAAAGTCGTTCAGAAACAAGATGAAAACAAAGGTTACGAAGGGAACTACGTGGATCTTGACAATCATGAAATAACTGTTGGTCAGACATCGTTGATGGAATCTTTTCTTGATCATGCAGCAGCATCATGCAATGCAAGTCCTCAAAAACCGATAAATGATGAAAAATGGTCGGAGAGGTCATTAATCATAAATGACAACAGAACGCCAGTTTTGTCAGATAACGAAGTTGCAGATAATTACGAAAAAAGTAATGATGAATTGAAATCACTTGAAATTGATACTGAAATTGATGAAAATAAGTTTGCGACTTTCTCACGCAGTCCTAAGCGGGAAAAATCTAAAGTACAGTCAAACAGTGCATTAACTC